AACAATAACTGGATATACGAGGGCCATCTAGGAAGTAGATTACGTTTCCGTCTGTGTCCGCTAGGGGCGGGGCTAGCGCGGCCATCTTGGGGTCAGAGCGTTGCGCAGCTCAGTCTGCATCTAGCCGTGCTAGTGAGAGGTTCGTGCTGTGCTCCGTTCAGATACTGTGACGGTTTGAAATGTCTGCGTTAATTGAAAATCCCGCGAGCTGCGAGGTGCGCTCAGTAATAAGGTTTCTGACTGCAAAAAACTGTAAACCAATAGAAATCTATCGGCAGCTTCGTGAAGTGTATGGGGACAACATTATCACCGAAGGTGGAGTGCGTCAGTGGGTCATAAGATTTCAAAATGGCCGAACCAATGTTCACGACCAAGATCGAAGTGGGAGACCCAGCATAGTGACCGCCGAAACTTCTCGAAAAAGTCGATGCTAAAGTCCGTGAAAATCGAAATTTCACAATAACGGAACTTTCTTTGAGTTTTCCACAAATTTCGCGAAGTTTGTTGCACGAAATCATCAGCGAAAAGCTTGGTTACCACAAGTTTTTTTGTGCAAGATGGAAGGCAAGAAGAGGGTAACGAAGTGGGTTGAAGGCGCAGGCGGCCGAATTTTTCGACGAAGGAATTTCCAAGCTCGTACATCGCTACGATAAATGCCTTAATTTGTATGGTGACTATGTAGAAAAGTAGTATTTGAGTGTGGCTTTCATCTGTATATAATAAAATTTGTTTCCTATACTTTGTTTATTTTTTTATTCCAAAACGTAATCTACTTTCTGGATAGCCCTCGTAGTTTTGAATCAGTATTATTGCTTCCATCCATAGAGAGGCAGAACGGAGCTGTTTTAATGCAATCAATAACTGAAAATTTATTTCTTAAACCCATCTCTTTAACAATTGCCCCTGTTTTTGTCCTTGCAATTGATTTTGATCCTATGCATTCAGTGGCAGGTTGTGCTCCAGTAAAAAGGCAAAGAACAGACATTCTGCATTAATAACTTCTTGGTCCTTTGTTTCCGAAGAAAAATATAAAGTTCTCAAAAGAACTCACGTTGTCAAAGTGTTTTTGTGTACACATATGATTGAGAACATCCGCCCTTCCACCATGCGAAATCAAAAAATCGCAACGACAGACGGTACACATTGCAAATTTAATTACATTTCTTGAGAATATAATGGAAGGAATGTGTACTATTTTTGAAACATACAGGAGTATTTCAAATTTTTTGCAGACACAACAAAAAAAGATAATTTCTAAACTATTTCTCGAAGGCACGTGTACTAACACAACTCAGAACAAGATGAACGAAATAACTAACGAACATCCAAATAACAGCCTTGAGCTTGCTTTGTGCTCGCTCATTGGCTAATATATGCCAGACGACACACAGTGGAGCTTGATGCCCATAGGAGAATGACGTTTCTGGATACGTATGCTCTCGTTCACAAGCAGAAATTCTCATGGTTTTGTTTTAGATATAATCTAGAGAAAATTCAATTGCTTTCAGACGTCCAAAATCATTTTTTTTCTTGTTCATATAACAAAGTATTAAGCTAAGTTCCATAAAAATCATGAGAAATTTTAAGAATAAGAAAAAGTCGGGAGAAATATATTGTAAATCGGGTTGGCGGGAGAGCGGTTGAAAATCGGGAGTCTCCCGCCTAAATCGGGAGAGTTGGCATCTCTGTAATAGTACTTAACAGGGCCGGCGGAAGCAGGCTTGCAAGGCCTTCTTTGTAGGCGGGCGCCGACCAGCCGACGACACAGAGCTCTCTCTCTCTCTTTTTTTTTTTAATGTAAAAGAATGTGCTTTTTACCAAGGAAGAAAAATAAATGTACCTTGAATGCTACACAGGACAGTGACCATGGGTGTTTGCGACCCCCCCACACCTTTCCTCTCCAGACCATCCATCAATCGTTCGGTACAGTGTCACACAAAAAAGTTCGAGTTTCAAAAGCGGTAAAGAAATGTAGGTAATACCGTACTTACACCAACTGCACACGTAAGACACTGTGCCCAACTTAAAATAACTCTTCTCTGCACTTAGTAGCATATGAAGGTCATTTTCCATGTGTCCAGAAAGCGCGTGTTATGTATCATCTACACATTCCTTCTTTGTATTTATTAAGCATTTGGTGAAGAAAAATATCAATGCAGAATAACCTTACTACTACTGGAAAAGAAAAATCCATTTGATGATGTATGTGCTTTTTTTATTTTACTTAATACACTTTCTATTTATAATTATTTAATCCATTTTATTATTTTTTTTTATTTATTTATCCTTGACACTTTGGCGTGATTTGCTTAACAGAATTAATCCTGACAGAAAACAATTGCAAGAAAAGAGTCTGAGCGTTACACTAGGCTTAAAAGCAATAAGTAATTTAAAAACATTCATTGAAGAATATAGAAGTGACATCAATTACTAGAGTATTCTTGAGAAAGCCAAGCAACTTAGTGAAGAAGTGCATGGTGAGCCGCAGTTTAAAACTGTTAAAGAAGTCCGACGAAGAAAAATGAAATGTACTTCGATTACGAGCATGCTGACAAATCCCCTCAATCTCCAGAAAAGAATTTTAGGATAAATGTCTTTTCTAGAATTTTGGCTTAGGCATCATTAAATGAAAAATTTGATGCAATGAAAAATCACTGCGATAATTTTAGTTTCTTGGGTAATTTATCAGAAATTGATAATGTAAATTTGAAAATGAAATGCTGTAAATTAGAGAAATTGTTACAGTGTGGTGACAATAAAGATATTAAAGCAGAAGAACTTCATGACGAAATAGTAGCTTCGAAATAAATTTTTACAGCCGGTATGAATGACCCATTCAATATTCTAAACTTAACTGTGTCAAATAATTGGTGCTTTCCGAACTTGAAGGTCATATTGAGAATACTACTTAGCATTCCTGCTAGTGTTTCTAGTATGAAATCTATTAAGAGATAGATGCAAAAGAAATTATAGAAAAAAATTGTAAATATGAAATGCAAAAAAATTAATTTTTCTCGATAAATTGTTACAAAAAATTTTCTTCTCCTATATAAAAATTTAAAAAAGAAGGGTTGACTTCGGCTATTTTGCTGGCTGGCGCCCGATAGCCTTGCGCCGGCGCTGGTACTTAATGATTCAGATTATAGGCCAGTCACCATGTGAAGCGAAATCTCACAAAATCTGGAAGCTTCCATTTTATTGAAATTACACTAAGTTGCGAAAACTGTTAAGGTTTAGGGTTACAGCATATAGCATTAAACCAGGCTTTTTTAATATTTGTCATTTCACTGTGCTTCTCATAGATAACTTTGTGAGTCAAATGGCTGGCATCGAAAGAGCTGAACATATGGACTTTGCTTATTTGATTTGGTTCCAAGAAAAGGATGTGTATGAATGTCCTAAGTGCAAAAATAGTATGAAATTACTTGAAAGAAGAGATGTTAAAGATTTGTGTGAATGGAGGTGTAATGTGTCTGGTCCTTCAAGCACAAAAGAAGGGCAAGAAACGATTCTTGGTTTTTTGAGAGAGAGTCTGATCCTTCCAACTAACATATTTGTGGGGTGAGAAATACACGAATAAGTTTATTATGGATTAGTTGCATACGAGTGGCTACAATTTGATAGAATGGAAGATGTGTGCATGGAAGGTAAACTGGTGTTTGGAGGTACTGAAAAGGGAGCGACATTTTTTTTTCGTGTGTGATTGAAGAGTGATCAAAAGAATGCTTATCAAGAAAAGGAGGTATTGAAAGTGTAGCGAGCAAATGTTTTTTCGTGTGGTTGAAGAGTGATCGAAAGAATGCCTGTTAAAGATTATGAAGGAAAATATTTTGGACTATTGAAAGTCATATGACTGCTTTAACGTTGAGGGATTCATGCACTTTAGTGAAAAATCACAGTCTTGATTTTAAGGATCCCGCGACAGGTGTCATACTAATTCTATCCAGGGCATATGGAATGCTATCAAAAAAAAAAAAAAAAAAAAAAAAATTAAAGGGTACTCAGCAGGTAAAAGATGAATTTGATTCCCACCTGGCTGAGTAGATGTAGCGAAGAAAGTAGGTGCATTTATCTGCAAGCAATCATTCCTTAGAATTTTTAAGAGCTATACATTTGTTTATATGCACAATTATCAAATGTGTAATTGGAAAAGGTAAGATTCTTTTTATTACTTTTTCATAGACTTGTTAAACTTTCTGAGTTAACAGAGATTTAAGTATAAATCATAATCAAAGTAATTCTCATTAGATGCAAGTACATTATATGTGATTAAGCACGTGGTTGAAATGAGCATGCCATTTTGAATTTTATCTTCATTGTATTGTTACATTTTAGCATAGATATGAACAAATATAGTTTTCTACTGTTTATTATAAATCAAAATTTGTTGTAAGAATATAAATCACATAGCTAAAACTGTTTAACCATAGCTTTTTTTAAATATTTTATCTTTGTTTTTCCTCTGCATTTTTTAAAGTTTTAGCTTATATGTGAATTAATATGTTTTCTCATAATTTATTGCAGATTTACTGCTTATTACAGTTTCTTTAATTTGGTGATAAAACATTTTACACCCTTTTGCTACTGTTTTAAAAATTTCCGATATATATTAAGAACATTCTTAATATTACTGATCCCTTACTTAATATTACATACATAATTATTAACTTTTCGTAATACTCTTTCAAAATACTTTTTCGTTGTTTTTCTCAAACTTGTTTCAGATATGAGTTCTTTGCATGTTTACAAGTTTCATTCAAAATTGCAACTATCTAACATGGCAAGTTAATGAGTTAGTGAAATTTAAAACGCACAAAACTTACCCATTCGGTGAATTGGCGATTTTTCGAAAACGCGCCCATAATCTCCAGTTTTGCCCAAATATCTAGTCTTGCTATTCATTCTAACTTTCATAACTAATAATCACAACTACACAAAATATATCTGTATTTAACAGCATAAAATTTAATTGTATATTTATATATAATTATCATACATACCCTTATTCTTACACACATCTTCTTATGAGTAGCTTTGACCTTCAGATTTGTTATGCGAGCTGAAGACAAATAATTCAAAATGTATTAATGATTACATTAAAAAAAAAAGGAACACAGAAAAATGTTATTTATTACATCAAATTAATTTCACTAAAAAACATGTTTTAGTTAAATCACACCACTGTCATTATTTACCACATATACGTAATGTACTTCTAAACTACGATTATCAACTGTTTAGCCTTACTACTTCTACAGTCATGAAATTTATCGCCATAATTTATCATATTGTTATGAAATGCCCAGCTGCAGTAAGATAGCTTCCCCACAAATTGAGGGTTATAGTTGCCAGAAATGGCAAGGCTGCCAAATTTGGTGACATATCAGCGATATGCCATTAATGGACCGAGAACATTCAGAATGAATTTTAACCAGTTTTCTTGAGAATGTTCTCGAAGGCAGGTCAAAAGCTATAAATACCCTGCCTGTATGCAGAGTAGCAGTTTAGCATGGAAGAGTACCTTGATTTCAGTAGCAGACAGTATCTAGCATGCATGCTTTAAAAGTAATTTTTTCCTATCTATTAGATTCCCGTATGCCACTTTCAACACCTATAGGTTGGACAATCACACCGTGGTCAATGACATAACATTGATTGGCCTTATGTTAGTGTTAGCCAGTACCATACTGTAGCCTTTTAGTGGTTGTGGGGGTTAGGATTTTTCTGTCGGACACCAACAATAAATAAAGCCCCAAGACATATTTATTTGGAGTGGGATGCTCACACTGGTTTTCTTCTTTTGTTGGCATAGCAGCAGGAAAGAAAGGGACCATGGAAATTCTGTTAACATAGCAAATTGCATTTTCAGATCTGAAGCAGCCTTTTATTTTATTGCATCTGTTATTAAGGCTTATCAAAACTACAGTTTTAGTAAATTATAATGCCTCCATTTTACACTTTTCTCAAAACTGCAGATCCATCACAGCGAAATGAGCACACTAATTCTGATGGATATCCGAATTTTGCTTGTACTGAAATGCAGATATAAAATAACTACGTTAAAATTGATGTTGGGGAGGGGGAACATGTAGAATTCTAGAAATATTTTAATATCCGGTGTGTGTGTGTCAAAGATACTGACAGGATGTGCCTGCAGATATTTTTCTAAAGGCTTGGCATAAATTTACATCCAGATAAGAAATTTCATGATGATGAGTGTTACAAACCTAAGGATTTTTGGATAACACCAAGGAAAAACTAATTTTCCAATTCATGGAATATCAGAAGAAATATTAAATGAGGATGATGTAACTAGGTCTTACATTGCATAGATGATGAATGCCTCAGTCATCAATTAACAGATCTATGAATATCTGTATCTTCGTCAAATATAATTGTAATAATTCATTTGTAATATATCTTCGTCATTCATTTTCAATGTTATTAAAAATATATTGTATACATATACATTTTAAATAACACTGAAAATGAAAGATGAAAGAAATAATACATGCTATAAGCAACAGCAAAGAAATAACTTTAATTTACAATAGATCAAAATGATATTTAAGATTTTGGGCCAAATTTTGCAAAATGCAAGTATTTATCAGACAACTATGAAATTTTAAGAGTATGTTACTGAAAGAATAAGAATGAAATTAAGTGGTAAGTGCCCAGTCATCTCTAGAGGCCACATCCTTTTCAATAACAAACACACAAACTAATTTTGGGAACTACATGGCCTGATTATTCTTGAAAAACCATGCCACAAACAAATGGCTCATGATGAAGCTTGTTTTTAAACATTTTTAGTACAATCATTTGCATGCTTATTTCTGAACCGTAATACCAAATTTCCAAATTGGGTGCTTTTTTAAAAAGAATTCTTTCATCAAAATAATAATTTTGCCCCAGAAAATTTGCAGACTTCAAAAAGGTTTAAAAACAACTGAAACTATAATAAAGTTTGAAGAAACAGTATCATTGTCCATGCAAATTACAAGAGGATGGAAATGTATTTATGTACAGGTATAGATAAAGTGACCACACGTCCCGATTTTGGTGGGACAGTCCTGCGTCCCGCCGATTTTTAAAAATGTCCCGCTTTTTAGAAAACATTCGCATTTCTTACTTTAAAGGTACTGTAAAAATATACTACCTATTATTTATTAATTATTATAGTAATTATAAAGAAATAAAAATACATAAATAAAAAAAAAACACATAAAATGGATGCACAGTACACTAAATTAGGCAATGTAATAAGTTAGATTTACTTGCTGGTGTTCTATCATTTTCATTACGGCTCGTCAAGGAATATGTATTGTTAAAGGAACAGCTAGCATTAGCTGAAGGGCTAGTTGCTTTCCACACTATAAATCACAATCAAAGTTTCAGATCGATTGTATGTCGCAAATGATCAAAACATTGTACGACAAAAAATTTGCATGTGCAAGGACAAATGTTGAAGCAATTATTTGTAATGTTTATTCACTATATTTGTTTTCACAATTGCAGAAAGAATTAGATAAATGCACTTTTATATCCATATATTATGATGGTTCCAAGCACAAAGATTTAAAATTATTTCCCACAATTGTTAGACCTTTTTGATTCAGAAACAGAAATTAAAATTAGAATATTAGATTTTGTTTCATTGCCGAGAACTTCATAAATAATTTTTGATTCAATAAGTACTATTTTAAATTGAGTAATTTGAACAATAAAATTATTGCCTATTATAAGGATAACACTAACGCAAATTTTAGTGGAAATGCTAGAAGAGGCATCAATAACGTTTTTACAAAACTTATCAAACATTTAAACAAAAACATTATTGGAGTAGGTTGTGCAGCGCACGTTCTACACAGTATTATACAAACAGCATCTGACTTACTTTCAGTGGATGTTGAAAATATTATTTAAAAAATTTACTCGTATTTATATATACTGTGCGTGTCAAAAGTTTGAAGGATTATTGTGAAAATGCAGAAATCGAATACAAAAGAATTATTGATTACAGCAAAACGTGATGGCTAGCTCTTTTACCAGCTGTAGAAAATATTTTTTAAATATAAGAACCATTAAAATCATACTTTTTATCACAAGATAAATGTCCAAGAATATTGCAGCTCTTTTTTGAAAATGACACATCACAAATTTAGCTTCAGTTCATTCACGACCAAGCTACAATTATTTCACAATGCTGTGAAAAACTATTGAAGGGGACAAAATTTCAATTACAGAAGTATTCAAATTGAAATTCAATAATTTAAAAACAAAATTGTGAGAAAGAATTGATAATGATTACGTTCCTTTAGTTATTCGAAAGGACATCACTAGGTTGGAAGAACAAGGTGCCATTAAACAACTTGATTTTCTGAAAAAGTCAGAAATTTTTATAATAACTGCTTGGAATATCTTGGAATATTGATGAAGAATGGTCAGTTCAATTTGAGGATATTAAAAATTTTCATTGGGTGACATTAAAAAAAAAAAGGAGGTTTTTTGGGAATATGTGGAAAAATCTTTTTAATAAACAGTCAAAAGTTGTTAATCCGGACTCGTCGGGACTTCAGCGATTCCGGATTATAGATCATCAGTTTAAATCTGGTAAGATGGCATGCAGAAATTCTAAAATTAAAAATATGAATAATTTATGAAATAAAGAACAATTATGATCTAAAGGGTATCAAAATTTACAAAAAAAAGTTTAATATTTATTTGTTTACTTTATTAAACAATTCTTTCAATGTAAGTTGTTTAAGTTGCTTCGTTTTTTATGTGATAATACTTTCTCTTTAATTCTATAAACAGACAAAATTTCTTGTTCAGTTACAAAGTTCCGCTGTTCAAGTCCTATAATTCCTGCGTCGAGAATACCCACTAATTTGTCAATCGAAATTTTTTCGTTTTCAATAGCCTCTGTCTCACTTTCTTCGCTATCGGAAGCGAATTATAATGACGAGGAATTTGATTTAAATCATATCAAACACGGAGTACATCGAGATGAAATACTACATTTAGTAAGGAATTATAAGCTAAATTAAATAAAAACATCTAGCTTGAAGATAAGGATAGTGCTGACAGATCAACTTCCAGTTCATTGCGCGCCGCGACGTCCTCCCCCACACACGCAGAGCAGCGTGAAATTGATAAACAGAGTTTGGAATGGTTAGATAAACAAAGGACATGCTGTTATCCATTTTTTCCAGCAATTCCACTTTTTGTTTAATGGACTTCGAAACATACTTTCGCTTTGTAGATCCTTTACACATTAGTAAATATATATCAGAAATTCTATTTGACATAATCAAAAGCTCAAGCTGACTTTTATAAAATTGCTCTAACAGTCTGCAAAAAAATAATAAGCCGGATCCAATTCGAAGGTTAAGGAACAACGCAATCTGCAACATTAACTGAATTAGATAATTTTAGCTTAGCTTATACCGTCCATTATACATTAAAGGCGCATTCGCAAACGTATTTTGCGCATGCGCACACGCATATTCGCAGCCGTAAAGGTCTTACGCGCATGCGTCGCGCAGAATGTTTGTAGCTTTGAGGTCCGGATTATAGATCATTCCGGATTATGGGTGTCTGAATTAACAACTTTTGACTGTATTAGTAACCATTTTCTGAAAAAATAATATTTGTTAAAATGATCTTTTTGATTAGGTGCCATTGGTAAAAAGATACGTTACTAAAGAAAAAATTAAATGCTGGTTGTCTGCAAATGTGGAAACAACAAAAAATGGACGGAGTTTATTCCTTCATTTTAAACAGAATAATATTCCTTATGAAAATATTTTGAAAATTGTAGAACACGGGCTCTCCCTTCCATTAATAAATGCAGGAACAGAACGTGTTTTTCTAGTATAAAAAAATTATGGACTAATGAAAAAACACAGTTGAGCATTAAAACTTTAAAATCTGTATTAAGCGTAAAATATAATTTGACCAATTCATGTGAGAAATTTCACGACATTTTAATAAATGATACGAATCTATTACAAAGTATTCACTCGATAAAAAATATAACTGTGAAAGAAAATCATAATTTTTTTAAATAAATTTTTAAATGAATTAAAAAACATAATATTCAAATTATAGTTTTTACAAATATTTTTATAGTCACTAATAGTTAATAATAAATATATTTTTGTATATTTATAGACAAATATATGAATGTATACAATAAAATATTTTTTTTTGAATTATTGGTCTGCTTTCATAACTAACTTTGTCTCAATGAAAATGTGGTCACTTTAGGTAAAGAGCACTGGACAAAAGCAGAAGTGGCTCCAAGGCCAACACATGTGTCTGGTGTATCATATAAGCAGTTAGATGTCAGAGTTAAAAAAAATTTCTAGAATATCCTCAATCATTATCCAGGCAAACTGCCCAAATTGTCCTACATACTGATCACAGTTTTCAGCATCTTTATTCATGGATTTTTTTTAGAAAGCTTGCTCTTATGTATTACATACCAATCTGGCTCTAGCGTAGAATTGGGTGCCCCTTCGACTAGCGACAAATTTTTGTAAAATTTTGGCGATGAAATCTCATTTCTGGTTACCATGATAGTTTAACTTTGCTTTAGCCTCCTGATTTTTTTAAAAATAAAAGTAGATTCATGTGTACATGGTCAAATTCAAAGCAGTGCGCAATGCCTAGTTTGTGCAATTATGGGATTTTTTTAAAGTGAAAACAGATTGATGTGTACATGGACACAGAGTTTATGCAATTCTTTGATTTCTTATTTTGGTTTTATGTAGCGGCCATCTTGAAATTGTGTCTTACTGGTGCTGATCTTGGCGTCAAAAAAGAATCGCCAAAAAACAAGGGGCACCCAATTGTAAACTTTTACCAATAATCTCTAACAGCAAATAATGATACGCTTTGTTGTTGGAGAATTCTATTATTCTGACATGGCATGCAAATCAGGATCATGAAACAGTCTTTATGCAAGTTAGTGCTCATTCACACTTAAACTAATCAGAAGTCTTGTTTTTTTTTTTTTTTTTTTTCAAATGAGAGTGTTATCAGTTGACAATTACCTAATACTTCACTAGCTTAGTCCCCGGACTTGATTTCATTTCACTTTTGCTTCTAAGGCTACCTGAAAGACCTGATTTCTTATGACAACATATCACCTTTGCAAGGTCTAATATATTTTACCCCATGTATAAAATTCAAGACATGCACCATGCTTGACTGTTTTGCTTTGATTACACAAATCAACATTGTAGTCTAATGTAAAATTTTGCATATAGCAGTAAATGTATCCTCTAGAGATAAATTTTGAAGCTACTTTCTTTCCCATTGTTTCATTAAAATGCTCCAAAAATTTCAGAGTTTTATGATGAATGCTTACGACTGTAATGAAATCAGAACAGAACTTCAAAGATAGACATGAAATCAATATATATTTGTAAATATAATTAATGACAATACAATAAAATATATATGGAATACAAAACTACAAAAATATTATATTGTAGCAGAAATATTTACCATGATTTTGTTGAGAATAACGATATGAATGCGGTGAATTATTACATGTCTCTCTTTCACATACACCTACAGATGTTACTCCAACAGGAGGAAAAATAAGACCAGTCATACATGACTCTTCATACTATAAAAATTCAAATAAAAATTTTAGTGAAATAAATTTTGTGACAATTATCAGAATATTAAATAAAATGGCAGAATAAATTAAATAAGAATTTATAAAAAAAAGTAAAATTCACAGATTTGTTCCATTTGATAGGCCTTTGAAGCTAAGGATTAAAACTATGAAAAAGCCCATAGTTGAAAAGTTTAAAATGGTGAAAAATTTAAATCTGGTAAAGTGTTATTTAACAAAAATAATTTTATTACATATAAATATCATATATTTAATGAAATACTAATTACAAACTCTGCAATACAGAAATAAAAAGCAAATAGAACTGCTTCTTTAACTTTCTATTGTGATAATGCAAGGTAAGAGCTCTGAGGGCAGTCGAAAAAAAAATCTGATTATCTATATCCCCACTGAAAAGCTGTGAAAAAGCATTGACAGAGTAATGCACGACATTGCCAAAAAGTATTTATTCAGCAATCCAGTTACGCATGTAGAAGCTTTCCATCTCTGCAGCTATTTTTATCATTGCGACTTCAGATTGTGATCCCTCCTATGGGAATTTCAGCGTTTCAGCATAGTGGTGGTATGCATACTGCATCTTTTGTCAAAATCTTGAACTTCAATTTCTGCACACACTGAACAAAATGTAGCTAGCTTAAAGACACCAAGTGTCTTCCTTCTGATTTCAAGATTTTGTTGCCAAGGTTCTGCACAGGGTTCAGTTTGTGAAAATTACTAAATATTTTTTAGCAACAATAGATCACCATGCATATGAGAACTACATTGCAAAAAATTAAAAGTGTGCATGCTTTCGATGAAAAAAGAATAATGTCAAAAAAAAAATCAGCACTGGATACATTGTTGAAATGGATGAAAAGATACACAACAAATGTCTCTCTCCAGTCATCAGCAACTTTTCAATTTTGAATGCAGATAATAAGAAAGTACCCTAATATATTTGCTTGAATACATAATAACATTAATACTGAATGTACCCTCGTTCAGTATTAATCCAGGTTTAGGACTTTGTCAAAAATTTCAATTAGGAACATTTATTACGCATGCCAAAACCATCATTACACCTTTTCATACAGGCTAGTTATTAGAAAACTTGTCTTATATACAAACCCCTCGTGGCCTATCTACTCAATCAATCAATATGAAAATTCAGACATTATTTGAAAGTATTCACTCGAGATTCTGATGATTTAAAACTGTACAGCTCTCACAGTTATGGTGAGAGAGAACGAAATTTTGAAATTTTCTGAGTGGCAACATTAATTTTTTCTTCCCCCTGCACAAATTAACCAATGCACTGACAAACCATAAACGGCATTCGAAGGATACAAATATGATAAAAACTGCTGCCTAAAACATTTGCAAAAAGCATCATAAAGGACACTGATAACACAGTAGGGGCACTGATGCACTTTCATAATTCACAGGGACAGACAGTAAAATCACTAATCACAGGGCACCATGATCAAAGCAATGCTTGTGAAAAACCTTTAATAAGCAGAGTGGGAAGCTTGCTTCTTCAAACAGATGCTAGAACATGCTAAAAGGATAACACTTATATGGAAAAAATGAGGTGAACGGTTAAAGCTGTTTTATCTGAACAGGAAAAATGCTGCCAAAGCAGCAATCGGTGAAATGATAAGCCCATCTTCTGTAAAAACTTTACATAATTTGATACAAAAATTTGAAGAAACTGAATACGTTGTTGTGGAAGTTACAATTACTACAGGTCCATTGATTGCATACTGCAAGGAGTATTGCTTGCAGTTTGGTTGAATGGTACAACACAGTCCTCAAGCTTCTGTGCTCTGTTCTGCAGATGTTTCCTTATCGATTCCAGTGCGTCTAAATGTTATAACCTGGAGACGAGATACAGCACATATAATTTGCAAATTTCTTCCTTATCAGATATGATGAAGATACCAGGTGATCGCTGCAGATATTATGGACACGCTAATTCAAAGAACTGCATTCACAAGGCTCACGAAAATCCTTGCAAAGTGGCACCAGCGCCTTTACATGAAGCTCCAATCACTTATGACTGTGTGGTGCAGCATTGCATGGACATTTGTTCTTGGTCCGCATTTCTTTGAAGAGGTCACTTCCATAGGTCTGAAAATGTGCTCTATCGCAAGTGCTCAGCATACAACACTGTTGCAGAGATAAAATTCCACAATTTCTTGCAGTGTTGCAATCACTACGATCTCCTGACCTAACTCCAATGGATTTCTGGTTCTGGTGTTACTGAATGCAAGGCATGCACATTAAATCCATGAGATTTGCAAGAAATGAAAAATACCATAAAACATGAAATTATACAGATTTCTCCAGCAATGTTGTGTTCGTCATTGTTGACAACAATCTCCCGCATGCAACGTATTATCGTCTGCAAAGGTGGGTACACTGAAAACTCACAATTCCAATGAGTTTTTTTCTTCCCTCTTCCATCTTAAGTTGTCATTGGTCGAATACAATGATCTTTCATTCAAATGTTTTGTGGTGCCAATTTTTATCATATGCGTATTGTGCGAATTCCTTCAATGTGCTGACCAATTTTTGCAGGTAAAAAGAAGGGTGTTGCCATTTGAAAATTTTTTCACTATAACCATAATTGTGATAGCTCTACCATTTTATATCATCACAATCTTCAGTGCATACCTTCAAATAACAGTAGCCAAAATTTCATTTCAATTGGTTGAACTAACAGGCCACTAGTGGTTCATATATTGAAGAAGGTTTTTATATGACCACCTTGTATATCGTACTCTTTATTACTTAAATATTTAAATAGAGATTGAAAAATGAGACAAATATTAAAAGATTACAATAGCACATTTAAAAAATTTAAGCTACAATATTGCTTTTTAAAGGCAGCCGAGATAAGATGAAAATATAAAAGACCACAGCTCATTGTAAATAATAAAAATTTTTGGATTTAACTAATACTGTATTCCCCCCCCCAGCTTTTCAGTCCCACGTTCTGAAAATTTTTAAAATATTCACAGAATTTCCATCTTTTAAATGCATTCAGAGAACAAACTCCCCTAAACTTTAAAATGGATTCATACACACTGTGACTGTTTTCATCTTACTAAAAAAGACAAATCCTTGAAAATTACCTGTAAAGGTCATGCCAAACCATTCATTTTAACTGTTGAACTATAAGCCAGCCTAAACAAGAAGAGGCCAATCACAGCAAAGCAAAGAAAAATGACATTCAGACCAAGATTTTGCTTGCAAATTTGAAGGCATCTTATTAGGTACTGTAATGTTATGTAACTGTGTATTCTAATTGGGTGTACATTTCTTTTAATGAAATAATATTGTGACAGTTATCTGTAGTTTATCTACGACCATTTATTTTTGTTATGCTTTTACTCTAACCACATTCTTCAAAAATTAAATTATTCACATAATTTTTTCCCTCGATTTTCAGGTCATAAAATCAATAAAATATAAGCTGGGGAAATACAGTATATTACCATGATGGGAAAGGCTATTATTTACACACTTAAAATCTATTAATTTCCATCATACTACCAATTTCCTTAATACAGATTTATCACAAAAATTAAAACTTGCAGTAATTACCTTCTTAATCTAAGTTTATTGCTAGGCTAGAAGCAGTAGTTCTATACATTATCTTATACAGGGATTACGAATTATAATAATTCTTTTCTAAACTCAATTTTAAATAAAATTTCCAATTCAAGTTATTTTACCCTTCATAGCTGGCAAGTTTACAAAGCAGACGACATATAAAAAAGGATACGCACAAAATGAAATGTGGTTCTAACTGTATTTTTATATGTCGCGAATATTTTATAAAACTGTAATAAAATTTCAGTGAGCTACACATTAAGTACAAATGAAATACTACAACACAGGTAAACTAACAGAAATCCGGTGCATTACGAAATCCATTCAATACAATTCAAATAAGTTTCAAAAAGCATGACTAAATATTTGCTTTCAAGACACTCTTTATTTCCAATATTAAACCTTACTTGGTATTATGATTGAAACACGACACGTTGTTTGTGAATTTAAATGGCTACTTCACTTAGTACGCCATCTCATTTTTAACATTAAACGTTTTATTATTTAAACTGAAGGTTTCATAGATCTAATAATTTGTTTTTGGCTAATTTAAACGCCTACCTCATATTTAGTCCTTGGATTAATTTCCCTAGCATAACTTTCCAAAGAAATACTCAAATCACTAAGGTAAGTTTGCTGTATAAACGTAAACGCTGGATGATGTTGAGCAAGCGTTAAAATGAGTAAATATTGTTCTACAACTTTAGGATCTGCAAAAATTCCTGAAGATGCTAAGTTTTCAATTTTTATTTCTTCTGATAAAATCTTGAACAACTCTTTTGCACAAATCATATTAGAAGAATTAAGTAGGCTTAAAGTAATAATTAGCTTGCTTCTCGAAGTAGGGTCACTAATGTTCCGGATATTCGAAATTTCTGCTAAGTTATTTGCTTTTATTTCTTCATCTCTAATAGCGTAGAAATCTCGCCTCCCTATATCTTCTAAACACGTCCCATAAAATCTTAACTCCAGAGGGTAACACATGTTGAGAAATCCACACATTGCCTCGATACGTTTCGATCCCTTGAGATTCTGAAACCACAAAAATACCTCCTCTTTGCAAACCATGGTTCATTACAAATACTTCTAGTCACATAAACGTAAAATAACAAAATCCAGATAAATTACAGAAATGGCGTTCGCGAACTAAAACCACACCGCCATTACACTGTAACTGTGACAGCATCCGGGAATCTTATTTCCAATGGCTGAGTCAAAAATTCTTTTTAAGACCTTTTTTTTTTTTTTTTCTCCCACTTCTAAATATGGAATAAGTTCTTCTTCACTGACATTTTAAACAACTCTTCTAATATTTCATATAGCTTTTTTTTTCTTAATTTTCAGCATCAACATGAAACAATAATTCCCTTTTAGAATATTATATGTCATCAACAACGCAAACGTTAGGAAACTGCACGTCTTAGGTGTTTGAGAAGCAGCCAATATTAAAATTTGCCAGTTCTAAATTATCCATTAAAAAGTTGAGTCTTAAGGTTTAATTAACACTCTTTCTTATAAAACAAGTTTAAAATAACTTTGATTACTCTAAGAAATGATTTTAAGTTAAACCATGAGAAAGAACTTAGAAGCATTAGAAATATGCCTGATTTAAAAATTTCCTTTCCTACTTTTAGTTTTTCATAAAATACCACTCGGAAAAATTTCATAGATGGTTATTTCCCTTTCTCAAGGAAAGTCCAAGACAAAAAAAAATTTGCAACAAGAGTTTCAGAAAGCGAAACATAATAAGCATATGAATAAACATATGATTGCAATTATTGGCAAATTTAAAATATCAGTTTCTCTATTAGTATAATTTTATTTTACAACAATAACAAAAAAAGCTATAATTTTGAAAAACCCTCAGTAGATTAAAAATTACGAGCAGTATCGAGAATTTTGATAATAGGAATAAGATTGATGGAAATTGCCCGTATCGCCTTTGCCCCTAGTAGAGTTATCAACGAGATAACCCCATCAGATTGATGGAAATTGCCCGTATCCGCCTTTGCCCCTAGTAGAGTTACAACGGGATAACCTTAAAACCTCCACGCTCATAAACAGCAGAACAAGCATCATGTTTCTTTTGAAATATCTTAATAAAGTTAATTACTAGAAAATTTAAACTTTTTCTCTAGACTTGAGAGATGTAACAGTAATGCCAACAAATAATACATTATTACAAACTTTATGAAAAAAAAATAAAACACAAGCTACTTACATCTACAAAAAGAATAAAATAGCAAAAAAATATCGCAATTTAAATTATAAATAAAACAGGCAGAAAATTTTGTACTCATACAATATATCTGTACATTTCACTTATAGATACATATTTTACGAAATATGACAATCTTAACTTGGTCACTACATTTTTACATAGATCATTTAAAGTATTGATATTAACAATATTAGGAACATATCTCTACACAATATTTCGCATAGAGGAACAACTAAATAACAGGTGCTGTAAACTGGCATTTCTTAAGCACAAGGGAGACATAGTTTTTAACCGAGAAACTTTTATAGCAAGAGGGAAAATGTCTATGATGTGTCAAGTCTTGTTCAAGGTATTTGTTGCATATACATCTTTTCTGGCTTATTGTTGAAATTATATTATAAGTGAACCTTCATTTAGAATCAAGGTCATTCCACCTTGCCTGCTATGAAGCCACACTTCTTTCTTCCAGCAAAGATTTCAGGCAATCAAGAGAAGTTTTAGTTCAAAATCTATGACTTGACTTTCAGTGGCAGATTTTGCCAATCTATCAGCAAGTTCATTATCGATATTGCCGATATGGCGTTTTGTCCAAAAGTGTTTAACATCTCTAAAAGAGCCAAGAAAGATAACCCTGTCTGTTATCTAACTCATTAAACTGCTGCTCGAGTGAAAGTCTGCAATTGACATGATAGCACTTTAATCATTATAGATAGGCAATCATTATAGATATCTACTGGCTCTTGTATGAAATTTGAAATAAGCCAATACAGGGCCTACCATAAAGAAGGGGTGGGGATTAAGTCTATCGCGATCGACCGGTGGACCACCAAGACATTTTTGGATGATTGCCTTTACTAAGACATAAGACGCGTCTAAATTACAACGCAATCATCAACATTAACTGAAATAGATAATTAGATAATTTTAGCTTATACGTCCATTATACATACTAAAAGTAACATATCTATGGAACAGGGACGCCAGCTAGACCGGAGGATGGCTTTTCACAATCAGTGCGACTAAAAGTAACATATCTATGGAACAGGGACGCCAGCTAGACCGGAGGATGGCTTTTCACAATCAGTGCGACTTTGTTTACTTGGAAACGATTCGGCCTTACCTTACCTTATTTTCCCGGCTTAGGCAGCCTTTAGTAGCTTCTACTGCTTTCACTGCCAAACTTGGTTAATTGCCCTTACGGCTTGGTCTTATTAATAATACATGGGAGATACTTCCCGCCTAAAAAGGCGAAGCTAAAAAGTACTTATGTACTTGAAATCTAAACGGAATTTTGACAATCATCTGGTGAAAGCCGTAACGATTCGGTGAATGGGTAGACGCAACAGTCGGTCACAAAAGTATTCGAACACCGGCACTCAATCAGAAATTCATTATTTGGGATATCAAAATGAACGTTGGATCTTTTCATTTTGACCGATAAAAACCAATCATTACAAAAAGTCGCTTCCTATTGGATAAAGTTTCGTAAAAATTCCATCGAATCTTGGAAAAGTCTCTCTTAATCATAATATCTCTTATAATCATTTTATTTTAAATGGACCTTGCTCTTTTTTAAGTGGGAAAATGTTAAGCGAATCTTGAAAAAAAAAAAAAAAAAAAAAAAAAAAAAAAAAAAAAAAAAAAAGTGGATGAACTCTTTATTTCTTTAAGTGGAAAAACCTTAAGAGAATCTTGGAAAATAAATACAGTCAAAAGTCGTTAATCCGGACTCGTCGGGACTTCGGCGATTCCGGATTATCGATTTTTCCGGATTATAGATCATCAGTTTAAATCTCGTAAGATGGCATGCAGAAGTTCTAAAATTAAAAATATGAAACCGTAATTTATGAAATAAAGAACAATTATGATCTAAAGGGTATCAAAATTTGCAAAAAGAAAAAGCTTAATATTTATTTGTTTACTTTATTAAACATTTCTTTCAATGTAAGTTGTTTAAGTTTTGCTTCGTTTCATGTGATAATTTCTCTTTAATTCTATTAAACAGACATAATTTCTTGTTCAGTTACAAAGTTCCGCCGTTCATGTCCTATAATTGCTGTGTCAAGAACACCGACTAATTTGTCAATCGAAATTTTTTTGTTTTCAATAACCTCTGTCACGTTTCTTCGCTATCGGAAGCGAATTATAATGACGAGGAACTTGTTTTAAATCATATCAAAGACGGAGTATATCGAGATGAAATACTACATTTGGTAAGGAATTATAAGCCAAATAAAACAAAAACATCTGCGCTGAAGATAAGGATAGTGCTGACAAATCAACTTCCAATTCATTACGCGCCCGCCGCCGAGCAGCGTGAAATTGATAAACAGATTTCGGATTTCAAAACATACTTTCGCTTTAGATCCTTTACATATTAACAAATATATATCGGAAATTCTATTTGATATAATCGAAAGTTTAAGCTAACCTTTATAAAATTGCTCTTACAGTCTGCAAAAAATAATAAGCCGGATGCAATTCGAAAATTAAGGAACAACGCAATCATCAACATTAACTGAAATAGATAATTAGATAATTTTAGCTTATACGTCCATTATACATAAAATGCGCACGCTAAAACGTATTCTGCACTTGCGCACACTCATATGCGCAGTCGTAAAAGGTCTTACGCGCACGCGTGAACGCCTCTGCGCATGTGTCAATGCGGCGCATGCGCAGAAAGTTTTTAGTTTTGATGTCCGGATTATAGATCATTCCGAATTATGGGTGTCCGAATTAACGACTTTTGACTGTAGTATCTCTTTTTGAAAGACGAATCTTGGAAAAAGAAATGAAATCTCTATAATATCTCTGCTTGAAAGAATGACGCGAATCTTGAAAAAAAGGAAATGAATTCTCTAGCCTATTTTGGAAAAAATTTTGGAATTTGGAAACACGAATTTTGGAAAAAATAAACTCTCTAATAACATCTCTCTTCGAAAAAAAAATTACACGAAACTTGGAAAAAGAAATGAACTGTCTATAAACCTTTCGAGCAGAAGCTTGAAAGGTTCTCTCGCTTTTGATCTGGAAAAGGAATTTAGAAAAAATTTTCTCTTTAAATTTGAAAGATATTTCTTTGAACGTTACGAGAAATCATTACTCTCAAAAACCTTTCTCTTCTCCTTCCCCTGATGCTATTTTTTTTTAAATCCGAGATTAGTATATATATAATTGTTTTTTATTATCATACAATTTTACAATTATAAATTTACATTTTTGTTGTTTTACGGCACTTCTGATTATAATTCTGCGATAAATCCCATTGCAATTGATCTTCATATGGCGTCAATTTTTTTCAACAGTTTTGCACCAATAAATCATCAACATTAAGATTTTCATCTAAATCTCTTAAATAATACCAAATCCCTAAAGGCGTCTCATAAATGAGGAGAACTTGAAGACTTGAAGGGGCTGTTTAGAATCGGCAGGCGTCTCCATCAAATGTTTTCCCAGATGAGTTTGCAAAGGGGGTTCCATCAAATGATCCCCTGTGATCATCAAATGATGGTGAAAAAGGAACAGGGAATGGATGATGGTAAAGATGATGTAGTGCAACAATACTCTTCTGTGGACTGGTGAAAGGCAAATATTCTCCTATTTCCCTTTTCAAAGTTGAAAAAAAGAAGACCAAAAAATGGGTCTTGGAAAGAATGGATGCATTCTTTTCTTAAGCAAAGGGGCCCACTAGCGGCCGAGCGATAAAAACGCTGAACACTGGTAGTTCGGTCCGAGGTTCGAATCCCTCAAACGGGCTGGCTGCATGAGCGTTTTCGTGGTTTTCTCCATGTGTAACGTGTATAGAGCCAGTTTCCTTTAGAAAGTCCTCCACGAAGGCATCCCTCCCTTTAGGCAGATAGCCCTTGTGTGCTTTGCCATAATTAGATAATCCAATCCAATCCAATCTTAAACCTGATCGGCTAGAAAATCTCTCATAGAATATCTCACTCAGAATTTAAAAATAATC